GTTGACCCGTTTAATTTTGTTTTCTTTAAATTTATTTTAAATATCCGTGTAGCACAAACTCTCAAAAAAATAAAATAAAATAAATTCTTTGAAAAAGGATGTGAGTGGAGAAGATATTTTTATTAAATAAAATAGGGAAAACATTTAAAAGAAAAGTAATGAGATATTTACTATTACTATATTTCTACAAACCAGTATAGTAAGAATTGTTATTCCATCACATATAGTTCTCATTTTTTTTTTTTTTTTTTTATTATTTAATATTAATACATTCTGTCACATTAAAGGGCACCTCACTTTTATGAAAGCCGATTAAGTAATGTTTTTCTACTATAAAGTATGGAATGAATTTAATCGTATTGTTGATTAAATCACATTTACTGATAACACAGGCTTAAGTATATACATACATATACATTTATAAATATATATATATATATATATATATATATATATATATATATATATATATATACATATATATATATATATATATATATTAAATTAAAAAAATATATACGGTTCTGAAAACAAGGACTACTGATTTTTATTCCATTTTTTTAATTAATACATCCAAACATTAAAATTATCAATTTATATCAATAATTAATATATTGATAGTTAATGGATTCTGTGAGTTGCTTACGTGGCGATCTTTCCTCCTTCTTGAGGAAATCATTCTCTTGACTGGAATTCCCTTTATCAGCAGTCTCTTAAGAAGATCTGATTCATAATGGAATCAGGTGAAACATTTTAATAAATTATTTACTAAAGGTCTTGACAATTATCTTATTCTTTAACAATAAGAATATATAAACTTTCAAAAATGTTATGTTTTAACTTATCTCCTTCAGTAAAAAACATTTTTATTTTTACCGAAAAATAAAGTTCAACCAAAATAAAACTTGAAGAATTGTACTTTATTGAGTATTACTTTTCACTCGGTAGGTAAATGAGCTTATACTCTTTATATAATAATTATTATAATAAAATAAGGAGAAGTTAAAATTATAAATTTCATTCTGTTTATATGTATATTTTAAATACTCACAAAATTTCATCACATATTTGATTCACATATCTGTTTTAAATATTTAAAGTAGATGATTAAAAAAATAAAAGAAACAATTTTTCCAAGAGAAATATTTCATATATATTTAGGATTAATTAAACTCTTCTATCAATATAAAAATAAAAATATTAAAAATAAAATAAAACCACAGACATCAATTAATATAAAATATCAATATCGTGTGAGAATGAATGCTATGGAAGATTACTAATTGATAAATTATATATAAAATCATTAAAATGCTAATATTACTTGAATTCTTTCTTGCTTATTTAGACTAGAAGAAGAGAAGTTTTTGAGAGATACATTACAGAAAATACACATGTGCGTTCGTAGGCGGCAGTAGTAGATATAATTTGATAAGAATATGTTTTTAAATTGTTATCAAAATCTTATAAACAATAAATGATGTACGTTATGTACATTACATGTATTTGACTACAGGCAGAAACAAAGCATTGTTCTTGATGGCTAAAACGTAAAACTTTTGTTTAAGTTTTTGATTCAGAAGAAATGTATATTCACTTCTTGGATAAATATAAAGTTTCCCTCCATTCAGCAGTAGGTAATATCATTTCCAAATATCCTGAATAAAATATGACAGGTTTTTATAAATGAAATATAATTCACATAACAAAGATCAGAAATGAAAATGTGTACATTACTTTTTTTTTTTTTTTTAAATGATTTTATTGAGTATTAATACAGTCTGCCATACTGAAGGGCATTGGTACTAGGGCTATAGTATTTATTCACACAATATGTGCATAAGAATGAAAAATAAATATAAAAAACCGAAGCAGAAAAAAAACCAAAGTAATATACAAGATAAATAAAATAACAGATTAAATCCGAATGGTAATAAAATAAATAAAACACATTCACACCTATGTACTATAGTCTACATTAAACTCCCAAACATTTTTTTTTTTAAACGTATTTCTAGTAAATTATGGTTAGGATTCATGATCATGGACTATTTAAAAAACAACTACGATAAATATTGTATAATACTTAAGATAATATAAAAAATGGGGAGAGGATTTATCAAACTTTTTTTTTTCTTGTCAATTACCTATTACAGATAGAGTTTTTCATTATAGTTTGTCAATAAATAATTTTATCGATCCTGAATGATGATAATCTCATAATTCTACAATAATTCATTATAAACCCTCTATGATAACAATATAATTGCGAACATTTTGAGCATACAATAATTATAACGTCAATGCTATTAACCTTTGAGAAATGGAAGGAAATAATTTCATTGGTCAACACAAAAGAATTTAATGGAATACTAATAATTTACAATTCGACACCTCCCACACTGATGTCACAGGCATATCGTTTTAATTCTTTTTATTTCTTATGTTTTAGTTGTCACTTTTTTTAGTTCTATCTAATTCTGATCAACATGAACAAAGTCTTATTACAATATACAATATATAAGAGTAATTAAAATTTCTTAAAGCTTTATGACAGTAAATTGTTGAAATTTCAGAAAAATTATGTATATTTCAAAATTCAATACATTTTATCTATTATTCTAGGTTTCGCACTTTCCTATCCATTCTCATTTATTATTGCTATTATAAATTATTAATTTACAATTAATCAATCATTGAATAATACATATGAAGCATCATGCTTGTATAAAAAAGCCTTCAATAAATGTCTTATTATAGTTGTTCGATAATATTTGATTAATTATAGATATCAGTGCCCCGGAGGAAAATGACGTATCCTTTTTTTTTTAATAAATAATTTATTAACTAAGAAACAAATATTCACAGACATTATAATAGCTCAAAGTAATGGAAAATTGGCTACTCTGAACAAGTTCAAAATTGACATGGTGATCTTTTTTTTATTTTTTATAAAGGCATCAACCACTAAGGTAATTATCGCCTTTATCGTGTTCTTTACCTCCGAGGCATAGATATAGACTTGGGAATAGGATGGAAGACCGAAATATAGTCTAATAAATAATAAACCAGATCGATTTAGATCTTGTTTTTTTGGCGCTGCAAACCTTGTAGATCTTTGATCGCGAGATGTCGTCTTCTAGACCACATCCCGATTCCTGATTTAAGTACAAAGGGGGTAGGGTCATCATTCCTACGCTCGGTCGGTGTGAGTTGCCTCCGGTAGGCTGACGGGCCTCACAAACCCGGGGGTCGTGTTCGGGAAGCCTGGCCTTCCCTGGTGGACGGTCCTCCGGATTGGGCGGTCACCCATCCAAATGCTAACCACGCTCGGCGTTGTTTATCTTGATTACCTATTGCAATTGTGGGGCGGGGTGGCCGAATAGGCTAAAGCGTGTTCACTGCACCGCGAGTCGCATGGCAACCAGATATATGAAGATTTGAGAGACAAGAAAAGTACGAGTTCGCATCCCGGTGCCGGAGGGGATTTTAAATTCCCCGCCCCCACCCTCCGGCCCGGGAAAATCCCGTATAGCCTAAATGGCGAGGTAGGGAAGAACAAAAAAAAAAAAAAAAGAAAAAAAGGTTACCTATTGCAAGCGCCTTAGGCCTTACTGCTACCCCAAGCCCAGCGATTTATATTTAGGTAATGATAAGTTTCTTACATGATGTAAACGTTCAGTGAAGAGTTAAAAGTTTAGTCTTTGACTGATTCAGTAAGATGAGCCTAATTTTAATTTCAATGATGCGATATTTGCATCCTAAATACCTAAAACTAAAGAAGAAGTCTAGTAAAATAATGCATGAAGAAAGTGCATTAACATTCTAGAATGTAAAAGTTAATTACTGTATACTGCAATTTTATAATTTAGAAAATTGTACTTAGATTGATTCTCCTATAAAGAATTTTAAAAATTGCATTGTGTCTACACTCTCATAATATTTTAGGATTATATATATCTGAAAAAAAAATTGTTATTCATATATTTTTCAGACCATTTACAAACAGATAAAAGTAAGATGCTTCGTTGTAGGTGATTCCAGAATGGGGTTTAAGGGCGCAAGTTGGGCCATCAATTTTTTTAAGGGGGCATGTTATGACGGATTTTTTAATTTTTGAGGGAAGAAATTTCAACGGAGTTATAAATTTTCGAAATGAAAATTTTCAAAATAAGAAAGAAGAAAACGTGGAACAGACCACAGCCAGAGTAATTTTGTATGATCTGGATTTTTTTTAATTCTATTTTCCATTGCTCTGTTTGGAGAGATGGGCAAATGCTACTCTGAGAACCGAGTACTAAGTATTTTACCCAAATTGAATCACTATTGGGAATTCTATCACTACTTCAGTTAATCGTTTGACGTCAACTGAAGTAGTAATTAAATTCTTTGGTACTCAAAAAAAGGTCAGTATTTGAGTAATACACTCGGTACTCACTCAGTACTCAGAATAGCAATTTTTCCATCTCTGTTTGTATGAAAAGGTGAGCAATAAAATATCTTGGAAGGGAGAGGGGATAGATTATTGGGCCGTCGACCTTGGGGAGAGGAGAGGGAATGGGAACCTCTGCTTCGTAGTTTTGGAAAATAAATTTATATTAGTATTTTTTTATATATTCATCATTCCAAGTATATGTTATTTACAGATATATACTTTTTTTATATTCAAGTAGTTGAGTGTAACCCATTTGTAACGGTACCATAGAGATCGTAATGAATTCAAAGTATTCTTTTGTGTAAGTTTTAATTATTATATAACGACTTCATTTTCGGAATTCACGATCCAAAGCAGTCAGAAGACGAATCTTCGAGTGTCAACACTCACAAAGAGATGTCCTCATCCATAATTTTCTAGACAAATAACAGACCCTAATTTTCCACCACCACCCTTTAGCCTATCACGAAGTTAATCGTTTTGTCGGTATGGAAAGTAGGTGAAAGGTTGTTGGCAAAGATAGTTGAATGTGTATCTCCGCCAAGGCTCGTTATTATAATGAAGAATGAACCGCAACAAAAGTAGTCCTGACAAGCTGATTCATTTGGATGAGTCTGAGTACCATTTCTGTCGCGTCATCGGAGGCACCTCTTTTTTTCCTTTCCATGATGGACTGCAGCCATTCAACTACTTTCCGTCTTGGAGTCTGTCAGCAACACTGACAGCCACATTTCCCTCCATTCAGGAGTCTATACGGCTTAGGGTGAGATTGACTTGGAAACCTCTGGGACCGGGACAATGGTAAACGGTAGATGTTTGAACGTTGTAAGCCACCATCTTCCCATGACTCAGTATTACGAAATGATATGGGGGGTTCTTAATGGAATCAACTCGTGAAGCAATTTGCAGCAAAAAACAAACCGAGTTCAACTATGGTAATACTGAAATATTGTTTAGTAATTGCAATTGATGGGGATCTCATTTTACTAATTCGAATTGATCACCTATTTTCGAAGCTAAGGACGTAGAAGAATTACTCCGAACTGAAGCAGATATCAATTGAGATATAATAATTAAATATAAACTAGGGTAAGAGCACCAGTGATGGACACAGATCAGTATTTTTTTTTCATTTGGCTTAAGTCACCGAAATTTTTATAGATATAAACTTATCCGTTGGACATTTAGAATCTCTAGGGTCTCATTTTTCTATTTAACAATTTAAAATAGCAAAGATATGCAGATATAATCTCCATTAAAAAAAAACAACAAAAAAATACCTTTTAGCATTAGTGATGGACACCCCGAAATTCAATTGTTCTAGTAATGGATAGGGATCAGTACCAGTAATAGACCCATGTATAAACATAACATAAATGTTCGCCCTAAATAAATATGACATTGTAGTGCATTATTGAGATAAAGTCCTAAGTCCAAATTTCTGTAGAATGTTAATGCATTATTGATAAAAAGTTTGAATACATTATTTATGAATTTAATTTTTTTTTTTTTTGGAAAGTTTATGTGACTAACTTACCATGGTGAAAAAGAATGTATGTGGTTGCTGAGAAATTGAAAAATGACAGCCAAGAAATAGATTAACTATTGAAGTTTTTATTTAGTTCACTCTATCTTCCATCAATTTAGACCTTTTTCAATAGATTGCATTTCTGGGTTTAAGAATTCACTGGAAGTCAGAACTCTTTAAAAAGGAATCCAATCCTCTCTTATGATAGTAAAGCTGACAGATCAGCATAACAAGTATTTATGAATTTTATTTAATATTTTGTTTTTTCTCTAATTGAGGGGGTATAATACTATGATAATGCCAGTTCTGAAATACGGCTGGACGTGGACCCTAATCAGTATCCTAAAAAGAAGTATTGAAAGATTTTAGAGAAAAATCCTCACACTCTAACTGTAGCGATCTTGGATCAGCACACTAACTCACGACAGAGAAAGAACAATAAAGACGTGCTAACAGAAACTGGTCAATTACCAACATATATGATATGAAGGCAAAGAGGTTAAGATAGGCGAAGCATGTAGTTCGAAGTAATCCATCTATAAGCCTCAACACAACTATGAATACGTTAATATAAGGCTAAAGGCCCCTTGGAATGCCAAAAACCAAATGGATAGATAGAATCACCAAGAGCGGCATGTAGATTTAATTTTTTTTTTTAGACAGGTTTCGTATTTATGGAATTTATATTTTATTTTATTTATATTTAATAGATAATCGTTATCTATGGCATAGGTTGGGAGCCTTTCTTTATTAGTATTGCCAGTACTATTGTTAATAGAGGCCGTCACAATATTTTTATATTTGATTATTCCTATTTTTATTTTCACTCAATACACATACCAATATACATACATTCTACTTAATTCTCTTAATTTTCAAATTTTGGTAACCTAAATAGTTAAATATTCATTAATTCTAGCGCTAGATTAATAGATTTCGCGCAAAAAACGTTTGGAGGCGCATGCTGCCCCCGGGTACGAAGCATGCTCACAGACGCCACATGCGGCCTAGAGATCGCAGGTTCCCCTCCTCTGATCTATGCTTTCATAATTGCAAGGGCATTACACTGACTACAGCAAATAATAATGACAGATAATGTTGCCATATCCCACATTACAAAAATTATCATAAAAACTGGAGGAGAGGTTTTAAAATTCATTAAGATTTCATGGTATATTAAAAAATAATCGAGCCCATAAGGGAGTTTTGTTATGATTATAGCAATGTTTTTTCTTCTTAGTATTCTTTCTCATATATTTCGGTCATAAAAGAACAAAAAGTAAAAGTACACCTCTAGTAAAGTTCCTAATCCCTTCAAAAATATCAACACTCCTTACAATGCCTAAAATAAAATTATTGATTAAGTTCCTTCAATTACTGATAATCTAATGGACACAACCCCTCTAGTACGTAATTTAACATCCTACTACCAGATTCAAGAGAAGATTTTCTAAAAAAAAACTATATATTTTTTTTTTACATTAGTCAATTTCTATGAATGATCTCAGCCGAATACATGAAAAATAAACGTTTTCTTTATAATTATAAAAATAGCTTTGCTGGCCTACAATTCAATTTTATTGTATTTCTTATGTAAGAAATAATATTTCTGTGAATTGCATCTTTTCCGGGACCGCTGATATATGTCCACAAAATCTGCTACTGCTGTTAATATTAAGAATATACTTGCACATTAATCGTATGGATTTAACATAGTTGTCTCTCTCTCAATCGTAAGGACAACTATTGTTGCCAAATGCGAAACCGAGACTCAGTCTTGATCATGGTCTTGGTCTTGCGTAAGAGTTTCGCAACAGTCTTACAGTTACTAATTGGCTTATTACTATAGAGATATTACTGTATTTTTTTTAGATTGGAGAACCTAACTAAGCCCGAATGAAAAATGAGAGGAGTTAAATACAAAATTATATTGGTTATACCAATTATTAACATAAAGTAACTAAGATTGTCAAGTATCAGTAATTATTTTGCCTTAATTTTTATTTTAAAAATCTATTTTTTTTTTACTAGTCCTTGTCTTGGTCGTGCAACAGTCAGGCGACCCAGACCGATTTTGGGCAACACTAAGGACAACCCATTGCTTGATTGTAATTGTAATTCTCTTTATTACAGTAATTGTAACTATTTTTAAATATATATTGTTTAGGCAATAATACGCTTTTAATAACTATAATAAACGTTTGTTTTTAGTTCGTATAAAGGAATTTTTTTGGGGGGGGGGTGAATCAGTATTTAATAATACCCCAAACTGACTCCATTCAGAATGAACGGACCAGTTTGGGCCAGCAATCGGCCCGTTGGTACAATTGACAGCCGATAATGGAATAATGACCATTCAAAAACATTTCCTCCTTTTTTTCCTCGGAGCGATCCCCTGACTGAAATAAAAGGCGGCGAAAAGGGAGAGGGGTGTGACGCCATGCGGGTGGTTACCATGACGACTCCCCTCCAAGTAGGAGAGGGGGTTGCTAGGGGGTGTAACCCCTTTCAAAATATTTTGCCCCCAGAGGTGTCTCAGGTAACTGCCTGCGTCCGGTCAGGCTCTCTCTTAGCGCTCTCAGTTTGCATTTCACAGGACCTGGACAATGAGCTTTGTGGAGCTTTATTTTGATCCCGCTTGTCTTCTCCTTTGTAGGCGTTCAGTTTACTCCTGACCCCTTTTTGAACTATTTTTCTAAATAAAATTATTCAGTGTGCCCCGTAAGCAGAGGGAAATATTCAAAAGGATGATAGTAGACATCAAGATCTACAAAAAATTCGTATAAACAATTGCCCAAATCCCAGCAGAAAAGTAGGAAATTTAAGATCTGTGTTTTTTTTAAGCAAGTCCCGTTTTTTGTTGAATAGGGAGCGATAACTAAAGAAATATTGGATTTAAGTAATAAAACATTGGTCCATAATAAACTAGACAAAATTTTCTTTAAACGAAAGTAAATTTTGAACATTTTTAAAAGAATTTAAAGAGGACTATTGAACGGACCAACTCGGCTAAGTTCGGTTTAAAAAAAAAATCATAAATTATTTGTGATTTTTTCTTTATCACCCTTCAATTGTACTACAGTTACCCCATTCTTAAAAAAACTTCTACGTTTAATCAGTTTTAAGTCCACATTACTTCCATAACATCGACTGAAGTTGTGTAAAGAAATTATATGATTTTCTATCCAATCACATAAAAGTACCCATATTTTCAGCAAAAATGACTACAATGAATTGTTACAAAGCTTTTATTTTTCGTTTTTCCGTGATATAGGATGCGTTTTAATAAACATAATTACCTAAAATTACATTTTATTTATAAAAATAAAAAATTTAAAATAACGATAATTCTAAAATTATTCATGTAAAATGGTTATGAAACTGTGTTTTTCTTCCATATCTCTGTTGTAGAAATTGTTCTGTATTTATCAGTGACAAACTTAATGTTTCTTTCCAAAAGATTAAATTTAAACTAACCTAACTGATTGCTTTAATTATTTTCATAAAAATAGAGATCTTGGTGAAAAACACAGTTTACATCCAATTTACATGGAAAATAATCGAAAAATCAGTATTTTTCAAATTAATTTGTTTATAAATAAAATGTGTCTTTGGGGAGTTGGGTTTATTACAAAACATCCCAAATCATGGATAAACAAGAAATAAAAACTTTACAACGGTTAATTGTAGTAATTTTTTTCTAAAAACTTTTTTACTTGACAGGATAAAAAATATCATCATTTTTCTAAACAAGTTGAGCTCAATCTCAAATTTTTCCCTAATAAACCCCAACTTGGTTAATACGGATTTAAAGTTTATCAAACTAAGAAGTTTTTGTAAAAGTGGGGTATCTGTAATACATTTGGATGATGATAATAAAAAGCCGCAATTAATTTATGATATTTCTAAAAACAGAACTTGGCTTAATTTGTTCGTTCAATAGTCCTCTTTAAATGGTTTTACAAATTACAAAGTTTACTTTCTTTTGAAGTAAATTTTATCTAGTTTACAATGAAGCAATTAATAATTATTTAAATTAAATATTTCTTCAGTTATTGCTTTCGATTCAACAAAAACCACCAATCACTTAAAAATCAAAAAACTTGGATTTTGGAACTTATCCATGCTGATTATCTCGTATACCTTATCCTTTTTTTCCTTACTAAACCTTTTACGGGGTTTTCCCGGACTGGAGGGTGAGGGCGGGGAATTTAAAATCCCCTCCGGCGAACCTGTACTTTTTTAATCTCATAACTTCGGTTATCTGGTTGCCGGGC